GAATGCCACCAACTCCCCTCCTGTCCTGGCCTCATCAAGAGACACGCAGCGCCACTATACAGGGCAGGTCAACCAGAAACAGAGCCGTAAAATCCGGGCAGCCCAGTTCAGCCAGCCACAAAAGCAGTGAACCTTGTTTTTCCTTCCAGCCTCACAACCCCACCGGGAAGACAGACCACCTTTAACTAGGTCAACCAAATTTCACAGTCTTCACCCCACACTTTTCCCCTTTATCGTCATGGTTCTCGGTTCTTGGTTGGAGGCATCAAATTTATTGGGATGATTTACGTCTGGAAAAAAAGGAAAAATCTCATCAACTCTTGACTGAACTGAAGAAGACCTTCCTGTATGGAAAAACACACCATTCAGGACAATGGGATAGCCTTGGACCATCTCTGCTGGGCAATTTTGCTAAAAAGTGTCCTAAGCTGGCTAGAGCTAAAATTTGGGCAACTTTGAAATAAAAGTCAGGGCAGGATGAAACTGCTTTCGAAAAGCCAGTCTCATTTAACTCATGAAGAACCATCTGTCACAGGACTTGACCTTCTCACCCCGTCCCTTCCTCTCTGCTTCCACAAATGACCAAGCATAGCTTTCTTCTCATGACCCTGCAGACCAACCCCTTGGTAAACAAAGGGGGATAAACAGCTGCCATATAAAAACACCTTGCTTGCACTGACTCCACTTGTCCCAGATTGTCTGCCTCAAAGTTGTCCCTTTGCTTTTACACACTGCAACCTAAAATCCAATGAGAAACACAGTTGTTTGTAAGAATCAAAGAATAATAAGTTGATGCAATGTGAAATGTCATCCCACGGTACTGAGGATTTCACTGGGTTCAAGCTGAAAGGCACCCTAACCCAAGGAGGCTTGTTCCCTTGTTTGCTTTAGCCCCAAACCTAAAGCTGCAAACACGAGGCTGACAACATGAGGGGCTCTTGAACTGAATTGGAGTGTATATGTATTTATTAACAGACAAGTGAAAAAGCAGCATTATTCTCATTCCTGTGAAACTTTCACTCCACCTACACTTGTGTAACCAGGTCAAATCAAGCCTGAGTTATATGAGAACGTGGATTCTAACTTTAACAAATACATAAAGTCATGACCCTTTTGTTTTGATATGCTGCCTGGTCCAGACAGGCAGAAAAGCCACCACTAAACCAAGAGGTATACAAGACTTCACAATTTATTAAGAAGATTAGTTAGCTTTAGTTTGTCCACTAATGATTAGTCACTGAATGTGCATTCCCTTGGAAGCCTCAGAGGTCAGGTAACTCAAGGAACAGTTTGGTTTAATTTTGTTTCCCTCTTTCTTTTTGATACATCACTGTGCTCTGGAAATTAAGTGCTGTTTTACCTACAACCGTTCCTAACTACATTATATACAACGTGACAAGCCCACCTTAAATATTGTATGTTTATTCACTTTCCCCTATATTTGTAGAACAGCCTGCTGTGAAATTACAAAGTTCATGGTTCAGCTGAACTTTTGAACTCAAGTGAGGATTTGACACAGCAAAACAATCTAAATGAACCCAACTCGAAGTTTTCATAGTCGAAACTGCTTTTCAGCCTATTGTCTGGGGTAATTGGGTAGGAAAGTTCTTTATTGATGTTGTAAAAACTACCAGTTTAATAACAGGCAGAGGGAGTGGAGAGGAGATGAGTGGATGTACCTTGGAGCGTCTAAAATCACGCTTCTTTTCGAGTTCGCTGAACTCTCCCTGACCCCGTGAGGAAGGTCTCCCCAGGACAACCCACCAACCCTAAGGTTTGCAACCAAATGGCTGCAGCCTGTCAGCTCTCAATACCTTGGCACAGAATGACCTCTCAAATGCCACACAAAATAAGAATATTCACTGAAAAAGTAAGTAGCTACCACAATGCATTGATACCAAGTACCAGTACCAGATACATGCCTCTTCATTCAATCTTCACAAAAACAATGCCAGGCTAGGATTAGCAGCTCCATTTTATAGATGAAAAAACTGAGACCAGAGACATTAAGCAATTTGTCCAAGATCACACAGCTGATATCTGTGTCTCCATTTCCTCATCTGCAAAACAGATGTTGGACTAAGTGATCTCAGAGTTGAGGTCTTAAGTGCTGGCCTACATGAATGCGGCAGTCAGAGAGGGAACGTTCCATGTGGAAGATAGAATAATTGTCTTTTTTGAGATGGAGTTTTGCTCTTGTTGCCCACGCTGGAGTGCAATGATGCGATCTAGGCTCATCACAACCTCCATCTCCCAGGTTCAAGCGATTCTCCTGCCTCAGCCTCTGGAGTAGCTGGAATTACAGACATGTGCCACCATGCCCTGCTAATTTTTGTATTTTTAATAGAGATGGGGTTTCTTTATGTTGGCCAGGCTGTTCTTGAACTCCTGACCTCAGGTGATCCACCTGCCTTGGCCTCCCAAAGTGCTGGGATTACAAGTGTAAGCCACTTTTCCTGGCCTAGAAGAGCTTTCATTCACAGTAATCCCAATACCACCTATTAAGTAAGCTGAGGTAGGGTAACCTCAACTTTATGAAAGAAATTGAGTTTAGGTGGGTTGGTTGACTTGCCCAAGGTTACACAGCTGGCAGGAGCAAACTTCGGATAAAATCCCAGACTCTAAAGCTTATCCTGTTTCCATCTCTTGACTATAAAGTCAATGTGATGTCCTTTGGGTCTCGACCTCCACATTAAAAATTTTGATTGAGTTTGAGAGTGAAGGTTGGCAGGCTAAGGGTGGAGAGGAGGGTTTGTCTGGACTAAATATCAGAGTTATTGCTTCAAAGTTTTTACTTTAAAAAACAAAAACTTCGTACCTCTTGGATTTGGGAGCAACTGTGCCTGAAAGCTCTCCTAGAGTATGGTGCTAATCCCTGCTATCCCTGGTCACACTGCCTTTGGTGTGACTGCTCTTGAGAAAGCCAAAGAAGAAAACCTGCTAGACATTAATAATTGAGAAAAAACACATAAAATGCTTAGCCTAGTTATTTAGTAAACCTTTAACAAAGTTACCTAGTACTACATTCTGGTTATTCCTACTTAGAAAATAAGAACACAAGGTCCTCCCACTCTATACTCTGGCCATTACCAATGTCCAACAGGACTTCTCCCTTATATTTTACATATGCCTAATATATAGCAATATGTAGATATTGGTTTGGTTTTTTTGTTTGTTTGTTTGTTTTGAGACAGAGTCTTGCTCTGTTGCTAGGCTGGAGTGCAGTGGCATGATCTCAGCTCACTGCAACCTCCGCCTGCCTCAGCCTCCTGAGTAGCTGGGATTACAGGCATGCACCACCATGCCCAGCTATTTTTGTATTTTTAGTAGAGATGGGGTTTCACCATGTTGGCCAGGATGGTCTTGATCTCTTGACCTTGTGATCCGCCCACCTCCGCCTCCCAAAGTACTGAGATTACAGGCATGAGCCACTGCACCTGGCCAGGATTTTTTTAATTTGATGATTTTCTTTTAATTGGACACTTTCTCTGTTTACATTTAGCTTAATTACTAGTTTATGTGGGTTTAAAGCTGCCATCTTGTATTTTTGCATTCTGAATTGTTCTACCTGATTTACATTCCTTCTGTCTTCTTTCAGATTAATAAAATATTATTTTGTTATTCCACCCATGCCATCATTAGTTTGGAGATATGTACACTATATTAATTTTTAGGGGCCCTCCTAGTGCATTAGTCTGTTCAGGCTATTATAACAAAATATCATAAATGGGTAGCTTATATGCAAACCTACTTCTTACAGTTCTGGAGGCTAGACCAAGTGCTAGTGGATTTGATGACTGGTGAGGGCCTGCCTTTTGGCTCATGGATGGTATCTCCTCACATGTCTTCATGTGGTGGAGGGGTAAGGGGTCACTCTCAGGTCACCTTCATAAGGCCCTACTCCCCTTCATGATGGCTCATCTTCATGATCTGATCACCTTCCAAATGCCTCACCTTTGGAGGTGATTAGGTGTCAACATGAATTAGGGGAACACAGACATTCAGACCATATCACCTAGAGATCATAACACTCATCCTTGATTTGTCAGGTTCTGGTGTTATTTATATTTTCACCCATTTCCTATTAATCTCTCCTCCATAATGTTATACCATAATTTTGTATTTTAACTCTACATTTTGAGCCTCCCTAGATATTACAGTTTTTTTATATGAGTAATGCACATTTAGATTTACCACATATTCGCCTTTTTTCTAACTACTTGAATCTCTGAACTTCCGTGTGGATTATTTTTCTTCTGTCTGAAGAACACTCTTTTATACTTCCTTCCATGTGATCTGCTGATGATACATTTTCTTAACTTTGGTTATCATTCTTAAATGATATGTTCCTGGCTTTAGAATAGTAGGTTGGCAGTTATTTTTCTTCACTGCATTAAATATATAATCCCATTGTTTTCTGCCTGCCATTGTTTCTGTTGTGAAGGCATTCATTATATCTTTTGAGAAGTTTAGTGTTGGTTTAACTGTTGCTTTCTCTCTGTTTTTTGTTTTCTATTTTGTTTTTTGTTTTGTGTTTTATTTTCTTTGAGACAGGGTCTCACTCTGTCACCCAGGCTGGAGTGCAGTGGCATGATCACGGCTTATCATAGCCTCAACCTCCCAGGCTCAGGTGATCCTCCCACCTCAGCCTCCCGAGTAGCTGGGAGTATAGGGGCCTGCCACCATGCCTGGCTGATTTTTGTATTTTTTGTAGAGATGGGGTTTTACCATGTTGCCCAGGCTGGTCTTGAATTCCTGGGCTCAAGTGAACCTCTGGCCTCAGCCTTTCAAAGTGCTAGGATTACAGGCATGAGCCACTGACCCCAGACTCTCTGGCTGTTTTTAAGGTTTTGTTTTGTGTTATTGTTTGAATGTGTCCCCCAAAGTTTATGTGTTGGAAATTTAATACCCCATGCAATAGTGTTGAGAGGTGGGACCTTTAAGAGATGATTAGGTCACAAAGACAATGAATGGATGAATGAGAATGGTTTGTTGTACAAGTGAGAGCAAAGTGCTCTCTTGCTCTCTTACACTCTTGTCTTTCTGCTTTCCACCATAGGATGACACAGCACAAAAGTCCTGCGGGCTATTCAGTCTCGGACTTCCCAGCCTCCAAAACTGTAAGAAATAAATCTCTTTTCTTCATAAATTACCCACTTTCAGGTATTCTGTTACAGCAGCACAAAACTGACTAGGATATCTTGTCTTCGGTTTGTAGCAGTTTTACTGTGAAGAATCCAGGTGAGTTTCTTTATATTTACCTGTTTGGGGTTAAATCTGTGACTTGATGATTTTATCAGTTTAGGAAAATTCTCAGCCTTCAACTACAAATAACTACTTCTGCCTCCTCTCCCCTTACTCTACTTCTGGGATTCCAAATACATGTATGTTAGACTTTCTCATCCTTTGAGTCTCCTACCCTCTCTTCCATATTTTCTATCCTTTCTGAATGTTTTATGTTTCATTCCAGATCATTTTTACTGACATATCTTTTACTTTACTAATTTTCCCTTCAACAGTATCTCTTCTTTTATAAAACCTATCAATAGTATTAATAATTTGGGTTACTGTATTTTTCAGTTCTAAGTTTTCTATTTGATTATTTTTCAAATCTACTAAGTCCTTTATTATGGTTTTCAGATCTCTGCCAAAATTCTCTATCTTGTCCTTTTTGCTTTGAACACTAAGCCTATGCTTAATGTTATGGACCAACCCTAAGTGCCAGAATTACCTTTCTGGATTTCCTTCTTTTCTTGGATCTCATACCAGTAGTTCTTCATGATCTCTATGCCTTTCCAATGTTCAAAGCATAGTTAATTTAAAGTCTGTGTTCAGTAATTTCAATATCTAGAGTCTATATGGGACTAGAGTCTATTATCTGTTGTTTCTTCTGATTTATTTTGTGTTGCCTTATCTCCATTTGTATCTGTTTTTTTGTGTTTTTTTGTTTGTTTGTTTGTTTTTTTGAGACAGTTTTGTTCTTGTTACCCAAGCTGGAGTACAATGGCACAATCTCAGCTCACTGCAACGTCCGCCTCCCAGGTTCAAGCGATTCTCCTGCCTCAGCCTCCCTAGTAGCTGGGATTACAGGCAAGCACCACCACGCCCGGCTAATTTTGTATTTTTAGTAGAGACGAGGTTTCTCTATGTTGGTCAGGCTGGTCTTGAACTCCTGACCTCAGGTGATCCACCCGTCTATGCCTCCCAAAGTGCTGGGATTACAGGTGTGAGCCACCACGCCCGGCATGTCTGGTTATTCTTTATCGTATGTCACATGTTGTGTTTGTAAAACTATTTGTAAAATTATTTTAAGATATAGGGTATTATCTTCCTCTAGAGAGGGTTTATATTTGCTTATTCCAGGTGTTTAGGGGCACTAGCAATCTAGGCTTACTCTAATCCAATTTCTTGAACTGATACCATTCAAAGCTGGGCAGAGAAAGCCTAAAGTTCACCTTTACACCTAAGGTGTAGCCCCTGAAAATCTTTACCCAAAGAGACAGTAGTGGGTGGAATTAGCCAATCCCTTTTTCAGGTCTAACCTTGCAACTTTTATTCCCTTACCTCCAAAGGACTGTTAAAAGAGGAGATCATTCTCTCAATCACCTCTTCAAGATCCCACAAATACCCTAAGTGCCAGAATTCCCTTTCTGGATTTCCTTCTTTTCTTGGATCTTGTACCAGTATTTCTTCATGATCTCTATGCCTTTCTAATGTCTATAAACAGATTTTTTAAAATATATTTTGTTTAGCTTTTCTACTTATCCTCACCAGTAGGGTTGGTCCAAATTACCTATGCTATAATTATCAGTGAAAGTTTTCAAAAAATTTATTTTTTATTTCAAAAAACATATTTTTAATGATTGAGATTGTTCTTTTTCTAGATTGTTTTACATTAAAATCCTTTTTATTTTATAAAATGATGATCAGAGTGAATTAAAGTTTTGTGTTTTGTTTTTGATCTTATTTGACCAAAAATAATGTCAATCTAATAGCTTTTCCCAAAATTTATTTGACGTGTTAATGAGTCATAAAATTTATAAATTCAGGAACACCTACATTATTAGAATAAACCTACAGGTTAGGTACTATTATTATTCTTACTTTACAGATAAGGAGACGACTTTATAGAAGTTTCATAATATAATTTCTGGCCAGGCATGGTGGCACATGCCTGTAACCCCAGCAGTTTGGGAGGCTGAGGCAAGTGGATCCCCTGAGGTCAGGAGTTTGAGAGCAGCCTGGCCAACATGGTGAAACCCTCTATTAAAAATTCAAAAATTGGCTGGGCATGGTGGCTCACACCTGTAATCCTAGCACTTTGGGAGGCCAAGGCAATTACCTGAGGTTAGGAGTTCAAGACTAGCCCCGCCAGAATGGTGAACCCCCATTTCTACTAAAGATACAAAAATTAGCCACACATGGTGGCACATGCCCATAATCCCAGCTACTCGGGAAGCTGAGGAAGGAGAATCACTTGAACCCAGGAGGTGGAGGTTGCAATGAGCTGAGATTGTACCACTGCACTCCAGCCTGTGCAACAGGAGTGAAAACTCCATCTCAAAAAAAAAAAAAAATTAGCTGGCCATGGTGGTGCACACCTGTAATACCAGCTGCTTTGGAGGCTGAGGCATGAGAATCACTTGAACCCGGGAGGTGGAGGTTGTAGTGAGCCGAGATTGTGCCACTTCACTCCAGCCTGGGAGACAGAGTGAAACTTCATCTAAAAAAAAAAAAAGTTTCATCTAATAACTTTCTTAGGATTATGCAGGCAAGGGCTAAGTCAAATTTTAAACCCAGGCTTTATCTTCCTTTGGCAATTGGGGGTTAATTTTTTAAGTTTTAAATTTTGGTTAAATATACACAATATGGTTTGGCTCTGTGTCTCCACCCAAATCTCATGTCAAATTGTAATCCCAATGTGTGAGAGGAGGGGCATGGGGGGAGGTGATTGAATCGTGAGTACAGACTTGCTGTCTGCTGTCATGTTGTTCTTGTAATATTGAGTGAGTTCTCCTGAGATCTGATGGTTTAAAGGGGTGTTACCCTTCCCCCTTCACTCTCTCTTTCTCTCCTGTCACCATGAGATGACATGCCTTGCTTCCCCCTTTGCCTTTCACCATGACTGTAAGTTTCCTGAGACTTCCCCAGCCATGTGGAACTGTGAGTCAGTTAAACCCATTTTCTTCATAAATTACTCAGTCTTAGGTAGTTCTTTATAGCAGTGTGCAAATGGACTAATACAGTACATAAAATTTACCACCTTTTTACCATTCAGAAAGATATAGTTCTGTGGTATTAAGTACATTCACACTGTTACGCAATTATCATCACCATCCCTCCCTAGAAGTTCTCCCTCTTCCCCAGTGGAAACTGTACCAATGAAACACTGATTCTCTATTCTCACCTCCCTCCAGCCCATGGTAACTACCATTCATCTTTCTGTCTCTATGAATCCGACTTCTTTAATTACCTCACATTTTTTTTTTTTTTTGAGAGAAGGAAAGAAAAAAAAAATAAGTAAAGGAGAGGAAGAAAGAGGAAGAGAAAGAGGGAGAGTAAATGGAAATATTGCTTTATTTTGAAAAAAATTGGGTATTAATGATGGCCAATCAATGTTTCATTTAAGTTTATGGGTAGGTGTGATGTGGTATTGACAAGAATGTATATTTTGTGTATTTGAAGTGGAGAGCTCTATAAATATTTATTAAGTTTACTTGTTCTGGATCTGAGTTCGAGTCCTTGATATCCTTATTAATTTTCTGTCTCATTGAATCTAAGTCTCTATGTATCTGGGTGTTAGGATTGTTAGCTCTTGTTGTTGCATTGATCCTTTTACCACTATATCTTTGTTGCTTTAAAATCTATTTGATCAGATGCGAGAATTGCAACTCCTGCTTATTTATTTATTTATTTATTTTTGCTCTCCATTTAGTTGGTTAATCTTTCTCCATCCCTTTGTTTGAGTCTTTGTGTATCCTTGCATGTGAAATGGGTCTGGATGTAACATGCCATTGGGTTTTGGCTGTGTCTTTTGAATGGGGGATTTAGTCGATTTAAATTTAGGGTTACTGCCATTTGATGTTAACTGGCTGTTTTATCCATTCGTTGATGTAAATTCTTCTTTATGTTGATGCTCTTTACTTTTTGGTATATTTTCAGAAAGGCTAATACTGGTTGTTTCTATGTGTAATGCTTCTTTCAGAAGCTCTTGTAAAGCAGACCTGGTGGTAATAAAATCTCTGAGTTCTTGCTTGTTCATAAAAGATTTTATTTTTCCTTTAGTTGTGAAGCTTAGTTTGGCTGGATATGAAATTCTGGGCTGAAGGTTCTGTTCTTTGAGGATGTTGAATATTGGCCCCCACTCTCTTCTGGCTTGTAGAGTTTCTGCTGAGAGATCTGCTGTAAGTCTGATAGGCTTGCCTTTGTGGGTAACCTGCTGACCTTTCTCTCTGGCTGCCCTTAGTATTTTCTCCTTCGTTTCAACCCTGGTGAATCTAACGATTATGTGCCTTGGGGTTGCTCTTCTTGAGGAATATCTTTGTGGTGTTCTCTGTATTACCTGGGGTTGAATGTTGACCTGCTTTGCTAGTTCAGGAAAATTTTCCTGAATAATATCCTGAAGGGTATTTTCCAGCTTGGATTCATTCTCTCCGTCGCATTCAGGTACACCTATCAAACGTAAATTTGGTCTTTTCACATAGTCCCACATTTCTTGGAGACTTTGCTCATTCCTTTTTATCCTTTTATCTCTAATCTTTTCTTCACATTTTATTTCATTAAGTTGGACTTTGACCTCTGATATCCCTTCTTCTGCTTGAACAATTCGAGTGTTTAAACCTGTGCATACTTCTCGGAGGTCCTGTATTGTATTCTTTAGTTCCATTAATTCACTCATACTCCTCTCTAAGTTGTCTATTCTCAATAGGATTTCATCAAACCTTTTTTCAAAGTTCCTAGTTTCTTTACTTTGGGCTACAACATGGTCTTTTAACTCACCGAAGTTTGTTATTATCCATTCCTTGAAGAGTGATTCTGTCATCAGGATCCACTCCTTCTCCATCAAGCCTTGTTCCATTGTTGATGTGGAACTGTGATCATCTTTAGAGGGAGAGGCGTTCTGACTGAGTATTCTCAGCTTTTTTACGCTGGTTTCTTCCCGTCATTGTAAATTTATCCTCCTGTCGTCTTTGAAATTACCAACTTTCAGATTAGGTCTCTTGAGTGGATGTCCAGGTTGTTAGTTCCCAGGGCCAGAGCAGCGGCGTTAAAACTGATGGTGCTTTTCTGCCCAGGATTCTCCTGTCGCGCTTCCTTCCTGTGTCCGTAGTAGGCGACTCTGCCTTCCCGGGGCTCCAAACCTCGGTCAGAAGGGGAACCGTTCCCGTTTACTCTGCACCGAGCGCTGCAGCACCTAGGTGCCGTCGCAGCCACTGCCGGGCTCTGCTGTCATGCTGGGGGCCCGTGCAGGTCCTCCAAACCTGTTTACTCTGCTCCGAGAGCTGCCGCGCCGAGGTGCTGGCGGAACCACTGCACCGACCACGAGAGTCGCGCTGGCCACCCTTATGTTTCCTCCGCTGGGAGATCTTCTGCTCCGTGAGCGACCAGAATTTGTCTGAAAGTGTGGCGTCCTCTAGTTCTCCGCGCCTTCACTGAGAGCTGCAATCCCGGGATGTTAGCGATCGGCCATCTTGGATCGTTCCCATTACCTCACATTTTATTGTTGTATATTTCATCTCTTGTTTATCCATGCATCAATTGATGGACACTTGGGTTGCTTCCACCTTAACTTTTTTATTTGCAACTTATTTTATTTGCAAATTATAGTATGTTATTTGCAAATTATATATGAAATAATATATTTGTCCTTTTGTGACTGGCTTCTTTAACCTAGCATAATGTCTTCAAGGTTCATCTATGTTGCAGCATGTGTCAGAATTTTCTTCCTTTTTATTTTTAGATGGAGTCTCACTCTGTCACCTAGGCTGGAGTGCATTGGCTCGATCTCGACTTATTGCAGCCTCCACCACCTGGGTTCAAGTGATTCTTCTGCCTCAGCCTCCTGAGTAGCTGGGATTACAGGCTCCCGCCACCACGCCCAGCTACTATTTGTATTTTTAGTAGACATGAGCTTTCACCATGTTGTCCTGGCTGGTCTTGAACTCCTGACCTCAGGTGATCCACCCACCCCAGTCTCCCAAAGTGCTGGGATTACAGGCGTGAGCCACCATGCCCAGGCTTTCCTTCATTTTTAAGGCTGAATCATATTTTATTGTTGTATATCTCATCTCTTGTTTATCCATGTATCAGTTGATGGACATTTGGGTTGCTTCCACCTTAACTTTTTTATTTGCAACTTATTTTATTTGCAAATTATAGTATGTTCATTCAACTATTCATTTATTCATTCATTCAACAAATATGTATTCTTTCCTATTATAAGCTCAGGGGTTTATAGCTATGACAAGATAAACAAGGTTCTTAGTCTCACACAGATTTTATACTGGTGGGAGAAGCAGATGATAGACAAGCAAGTGTATAAATTATCAAAAATCATGCAGTATGATAAGTCATATGCATAGAATTAAAATAGAATGACGTTACAGTTAACAAGTTGGAGGCTACTTTCGACAGGGTGCTCAGGGAAGACAGCTCTGAAAAGATAACTTGTGAGCAAAAATTTGAATGTAAGAAAGGAGCCAACACCAGGCAAGGTGGCTCATGCCTGGAGTCCACACTACTCAGAAAGCTGAAGAGGGAGGACTGCTTGAGGCCGGGAGTTTCAGGCCAGCCTGGGCAACACAGTGAGACCCTGTCTCTAAAAAAAATTAAAATAAAAAAAATAAGCTGGACATGGTAGCACATGCCTTGTAGTTCTAACCACTCCAGAGGCTAAGGCATGCCTGGGTCCTGGTGGATGAGAGGGAGAATGGGGATCAGGTAGGAATGGTAGGCAATGCTTTTTAAGATAGGATAGGGGGTTTTGATTTTTTCTTAGTAGTAGTAATTTTTCACAGTAGTATGATATGTAGATGCCCCACCCAGGTCTTCTCGGCATTCACATCTAAACACCAAAGTGTGCTTACTGCAAGCACCTGTGCCTGTCTGCCTGAGGACTGCATGCAAAGCAAGCCAGAAGTTCTGGCATCAGTGCACCTGGAAGCTGCTCTCTGGTAGGGCATCGGGGGATAAATACCACCAGCACTTCTGGATTAATATAGGGAGTTGCTGGATAAATACCCTACCCGTACCTTGGTTGGGATAACTCAGAGGCATAGCCTTGCTCTCTCTCAGAGCTCTTCGGCAGGGCTGAGCTCCAGTTGTAACTCGTAACTTAACACATCTTATTTTGGCTTCCAGGTTCCATGTCTCCACTCCCTTGCAGGTGTTTCCTGGGATCACCACCCAGATGAACTATTTGCCTTAAAAACCCTTCTACTGGAACCTGGTTCTGAGGGAATTCAAAGCAGAAAGATAGGAGACATTAAAGAAATAATTGTATTTTTAAATAATCACTTGGAAGGTCTTTCTGTCTCTATCTAATTCTGTCTCTAGTTCTGTCTCTTCCTATTAATATTATAGACATTGGACAAAATAAAATAAGAGTTCGAAGTCACTAGAGAGCAATAAAAACCCAGCAGAAACTGGAGGAGACAGACACTTAAAGAATGGAACTGAAATGGATGAAATGTACTTTTATATGAAGTTTCACCCAAGGGTATTCCTCAGTCTGAGTGGTGCAGAACAGATGGGGCTCAAGCAGAAAATATCAGTTTTATCAGGCTGAAGAGTCAGAGTTTGGAATTCAGGGATGTCATAGCAGCTGAACATTGAAGGGAGAAATTCCCAAAACAGTGAGTCACAGAAGGGGAGCATCAGATTTTCCATATAAGTTCTCTTTAAATCCTTGACTAACCCCTGAGCTGTGCATGCATGGGAAAGACTATAAGAAGCCCAGTGGAAAGCAACAACTCAGAGACTGAAAAAAAACCAGTGCTGGGGATCTGGAGTTTGAAGTTCAAGTCCCAGCGAGTCACAGACAGTTGGTAAACTCTTCAAGCCTTCCAATGAAACCCAGAAAGGCCATACTCAGAAGGAACTTCAATCGTTAGGAGTAAGGATCACAGCACAGCATAGAGGCTATGTTCTAGACCTATGGGCAAAGTTCAAATAAACTAACTCTAACAAACCATATGTCATGCCTTCACAGGGTGATTTGCCTGCTGGAACTACATTCAATTGATACTCCTTAAAGAAAGAAAACAGAATCCAGCAGCCATATGCAGAAGATTAAAACTGGACCCCTTCCTTACACCATATACGAAAATTAACCTGAGGTGAATTAAAGACTTAAATGTAAAACCCAAAACTATAAAAACCCTGGAAGATAACCTAGGCAATACCATTTAGGACATAGGTATGGGCAAAGATTTCATAACATAGACACCAAAAGCAATTGCAACAAAAGCAAAAATAGGCAAATACTTTCTCATGAAACTGAACAGCTTCTGTACAGCAAAAGAAACTATCATCTAAATGAACAGACAACCTATAGAATGGGACAAAATTTTTGCAAATTATGCATCTGACAAAAGTCTAATATCCAACATCTATAAGAAACCTAAACAAATTTACAAGAAAAAAGCAAACAACCCCATTAAAAAATGGGCAAAGGACATGCACAGTTTTCAAAAGAAGACATACATGTGACCAACAAGCATATGAAAAAACTCTCATCACTGATCATTAGAGAGATGCAAATCAAAACCACAATGAGACAACCATCTCACACCAGTCAGAATGGTTGATTATTAAAAAGCCAAAAAATAACAGATGCTGGTGAGGTTATAGAGAAAAACAAAGGCTTAGACACTGCTGATGGGAATGTAAATTAGTTCCACCATTGTGGAAGACAGTGTGGTGATCCCTGAAAGACCTAAAGGCAGAAATATCATTCAACCAGCAATCCCACTACTGGGTATATACCCCCAAAAATATAAATTGCTCTACCAAAAAAGTACATGCATGCATATGTTTATTGCAGCTCTATTTGCAATAGCAAAGACATGAAATCAACCTAAATGTCCATCAATGATAGACTACATAAAGAAAATGTGGTACATATATACCATGGAATACTAAGCAGCCATAAAATGGAATGAGATTATGTCCTTTGCAGGGACATGGATGGAGCTAAAGGCTGTTGGCCTCTAGCTAACATAGGAACAGAAAACCAAACACCACATCTTCTCCCTTATAGGTAGGAGCTAAGCGATGAGAACACATGGACACATAGAGGGGATCAACACGCACTGAGGCCTCTCAGAGGGTGGAGGGTGGGAGGAAGGAGAGGATCAGGAAAAACAACTAATGGGCACAAGGCCTAATACCTGGGTGATGAAATAATCTGTACAACCAACCGCCATGACACAAGCTTACCTGTGTAACAAACCGGCACATGTATGCCTGAACTTAAAAGTTAAAAAAACAGGTATGGTGGCTCACGCTTGTAATCCCAGCACTTTGGGAGGCCAAGGCAGGCAGATCATGAGGTCAGGAGTTCAAGACCAGCCTGTTCAATATGGTAAAACCCCATTCCTACTAAAAAATACAAAAATTAGCCAGGCATGGTGGCCCATGCCTGTAGTTCCAGCTACTCAGGAGGCTGAGGCAGGAGAATCACTTGAACCCAGGAGGCGGAGGTTGCAGTGAGCCAAGATCATGCCACTGCCTTTAAGCCTGGGCAACAGAGTGAGAAAAGAAAAGACAAAACAGAACCCAGAATATCTATGATATACCACTGTCAAGGAAAAATTACTAGATGCGTGAAAATGCAGAAAAATGTAATTCAGACATGAAAAGAAATAAAAGCTATCAATGGAAACAGATTCAAAGGTGACCATAGGTTATAATTAGTAGAAAAAAACCATAAAGTAACTCTGATAAATATGTAACAGAATTTTATAGGAAAAGGGGAATATAATGGCTAAAGAAATGGAAAGACATGGAAACTCTAAAAAAAAAAAAAATGAAACTCCCAAATCTGAAAAATAAAGTATTTGACACAAAAAAATTTATTGAAGATTCACAGCAAATTTGGCAATATAGTAAAATGATTTGTGAACTTGATAGGTTAATAGAAATTAAACAAGGCTGGATGTGGTAATCCCTGTAATCTCACGCCTGTAATGCCAGCACTTTGGGAGGCCAAGATGGGCAGATTGCTTGAGCCCAGGAGTTTGAGACCAGCCTGGGCAACATGGTAAAACCCTGTCATTACCAAAAAAAAATACGAAAATTAGCTGGGTCTGGTGATGTGTGCCTGTAGTTCCAGCTACTTGGGAGGCTGAGGTGGGAGGATGACTTGAGCCCAGGATGTGAAGGTTGCAGTGAGCCGGGATTGTGCCACTGTACTCCAGCCTGGGTGACAGAGCCAGACCCTGTCTTAAAAAAAAAAAAAGAAAAAAAAAAAACTAAACAAAATTAGCCTAACATACAGGTAATTGGAATCCCAAAAAGTAAGGGAAAAGAAAGACTGGGTAGAAAAATATATAAATTTGAAGTAATTTTGGCCCCAATTTTTTGCTTCTTTGGTTAAAAGCATCAACCCACACACCTAAGACACCAAGGGAACCTCAGACTGAATAAAATCAAGAAAAAACACAATTTGTGATTAAGATGAAGATTCATATTATAGTCCCTAGAACAACCATTAAAACAATAAAACCAAAAAAAAAGCTAAAAATTCAATATAAGAAACAGAAGGAAACACAGTTTTTTAAGTTAGCCTCCAAAAGGCAGAAAACCAGGAACAGAGAAACAAAGAACAGAGGTGACAAATAGAAAACAAACAGCAAGATTATAGACTTGAGCCCAATCATATCAACAATTACATTAACTACAAGTAGACTAAACACTCCAATTAAGAGTTAGATATTATCAGATCCAACTATGTGCTATTTATAAGAAATAGACATTAACACAAATTGAAAGAAATCGTTACTGTACAAACACTAAACATGTTAATATCAGATAAAAAATACTTCAAGACCTTTGAAGTAGATTACCAAAGAGAATCACTTAAAATAAAGAGGGACATTTTACAATAATTCGTGAAGAACATATATCAATTTTAACTGCATATACACCTAGTAATGTGGCCTCAAAACACACAATGCAAAAATGGACAGAATTAAAGGGAGAAATAGATAAATCCACAATTATGTTTAGAAACTGTAACACTTCCGTTCTCAGTAATTGTCAGAACAAGAAGATGTCTGTAAAGGTATAGATTGAAACATTATTAAACAATTGGGTCCAACTGACATTTATAGAGCACTGAACAACTGCAGAATACAAATTACTTTCAAGTACACGTGGAACATTCACCAAGACAGGCCAAATGCTATGACCCAAACTTTAAATTGAATATTGGACATTTTCTGTTCTTAAAAAGTCTCCTCCCCTTCCCTATTGCTTCTCCTAATTGCACTGCAATTGCCACCTCCTCTTTTCTCCAACCTCTTTTCTTTCTTTTCCTTTATGATGATAATCAATTTCGTTGTCATATTTGTTTCCTTGAACTTTGCTAACCCATGCTCTCATTATCTCATCTTCTGCCTCAAGAGGCATATTGAGTTATTTTCTTGAACAAAAACGGTTTCCTCCCTGAGGGAAATTTTTGTTCCCTGTGGTTAAAAAAGATAACGATCCCCAACTTTCAACTAAACTTATTGTTTTTTATGGAGAGGGCAGGAACAGGGTCTTACTCTGTCACCCAGCCTCAAACTCCTGGGCTCAGGTGATCCTCCCATCTCAGCCTCCCCAGTATCTGGGACTACAGGCGAACACCACCACACCCAGCTAATTTTTGTATTTTTTTGTGGAGACAGGATCTTGCTATGTTGCTCAGGCTAGCCTCAAACTCCTGGTTTCAAGCAATCCTCCCCACCTCGGCCTCCCAAAGCACTGGGATTGTAGATGTGAGCCGCCACACCCAGCCTAAACTTAATTTTATGGGCAGATTATTTCCTCATGGCAAGAGTTCTGGCCAAAAGATGCCTCTTTGGAGGACTCCATGGTGATTTGAGGTTCTCTTACTCTCTTTGCCCACCTTTGGATGTCCACCATGGCTTAGCTGGGAGGAAACACTCCTAGACTCATCAGAGTACACTCAGCTCATAATTTGCTTTCTCCCATTCCTGCCGTGAAAGCAATAGCCTTATTTCAGCCATGGCTGAGTTTCCCAGTGGCCGTCATCCATGCTATGATGATGTGCTTCCCCAGGAGAGGGAAGTGGCTGCTTCCCAGGAACCAGCAGTAGCAGACAGGCTTGGCTCATAGAACAGACAGCATGGCTCCTCCTAGGCGGAGTGGGAAGCAGAGAGGCCAAGCCACAAACAGGAGTGCCTCAACAGACGCTGGGCACATACAATAGCAAAGGCCAGGCCTCCCGCATTCACACTGTGTGTGGGGGCCTCCTCACACAGACAGGGCAGCCCATGTGGGGAGCAGAGCCACCAGCAGGAGACTCTCCATGTAAGATGTAGCCTAAGAACTGTAACCCACCCACTGAGGAAGCTCCAATTGCCAAAGGAACAGTCTTTCCTAAGGGAACATGCCAATCATGCAAAGACAAGAGACGTCAATATGTTTTCCTCCCTCAGAAAAGTCAAATTTTTAAAATACAGACTAAGAAGCATGGTAACTCCTATGTGATTTCCACGTATTTTGCTAAATGGTTTGTACGTATATCATTTCTAATTCTTACAATAATCTTTCATGTGAGGTGTCATTATCCTCATATTATAGACAAGGAGATTGAGGACTTGGGAAATTAAGAAAGTCACCCCGAGAACACAGTTAGGACATGACAGAAAAGGATAAAGTAAAAGATTATTTATTCTAAAACCTGCATCACAGTACTTTTTCAAGACTTCCCTTAGAAGCAACAAAGACTTTTGTTAAACAACCACATTCTGTAATCCTAAAAGAAACTCCTTCTGGCCGCTGTGGAACCTCCCAGCTTCACAGATTCTCTTGCCTCGTTCTCATCTTAACCAGTTCTCTGTTGTCTCTTGCCCAGTTGGCTTCCAGACATAACCTTGTCCTGCTGGCCCTCTACTTGTCCAGTTTAATACTTCCTGCTGGAAAACATGGGATCTATTTTTCTAGGCTCAAACTTCTGATACCCTGCTAAGGTCTTCCTTTTCACTTCTGGTTTTCAGTCAGAAGAACATGCCTAGATCCAGTGTGATTTATGGGACTGTGACAATTGACAGTTAAAATACCCAATGAAAAATTTAGCCCCTTCCATCTCTAGAGCACACAAAGAAAATGATTTTACAAAGGCCACCCTTTAGAAGCCCACTTCTGCAAAAGTTACCCTTATTTTTTGTAATTGACTTTATTCTGTTTTCTTATTTATTATTTTTTTATTTTGTCTTTTTTTATTTTCTATTTTGTCTTTTTTTTTTTTTTTTTTGCTTTATTCTGTAGAGCAGTTTAGTTTCCCAGCAAAATTGGGAGGAAAGTACAGAGATGTTTTTATATACCCGCTTCCCCCACATGCATAGGGCACCTCGTCATCAGCATCCCTCACTGGAGAGGTACACTTTTACAATGGATGAGCCTACATTGAAACATTAGCACTGGAAGTCCACCATTTACATTAAGGTTCTAGAGTTACCTTTTGAAAAAACAAGTCTTATGTCATACTCTTCCTTAAAAACCTCCATTGGGCCTCTGTAACTTAAGCCCAGATTCCTCAGAGTACAGATCATTATGATCAAACCATCTTCTTCAGTCCCACCTCTATATTACCGTTACATTGAATTTCTGGTCTTTTGAATCTTCAGGCATTTGTACTTGTTGTTTTCTCTATGAGGAAAACCCTTTCCCTGTGCCTGGAGAACTCAAGGCCCCATCAAGTCTTTCCTGAGTACTCCCAAGGCTTTCTGCTCATATTCCATATCAGTGGTTCGTTGTCTTTCAATTCAACAAAGGCTTCATGAGCACCAAGGGCTGGGAGAAGAGCTAGGCTTTGGGGCCATGAAGATGAGTGAGCCAGAACAGAATTCCTTTTTTTTTTTTTTTTTTTGAGACGGAGTCTTGCTCTGTCACCAGGCTGGAGTACAGTGGCACAATCTTCACTCACTGCAACTTCTGCCTCCCCGGTTCAAGCAATTCTCCTGCCTCCGCCTCCTGAGTAGCTGGGATTATAGGTGCCCACCACCGCGCCCAGCTAATTTTTGTGTTTTTAGTAGAGATGGGGTTTCACCATCTTGACCAGGATGGTCTCAATCTTTTGACCTTGTGATCCACCTACCTTGGCTTCCCAAAGTGCTGGGATTGCAGAGGCGTGAGCCGCTACACCCAGCCAGCATTCCTATTCTTGAAGAGCTCTCTCAACAATGAAAGTGTATTGTTTGCTTTCATGCTGCTGATAAAGACATACCCAAGACTGGGTAATTTATAAAGAAAAAAAGGTTTAATGACTCACAGTTCCATGTGGCAATGGAGGCCCCACAATCATGGTGGAAGGCAAAAGACATATCTTATTACATAGTGGCAGACAAGAGAGAATGAGAGCCAAGTGAAAGAGAAAACCCCTTATGAAACCATCAGATCTCGCGAGACTTATTCACTCCCATGAGAACAGTATGGGGGAACTGCCCCTATGATTCAGTTCTTTCCCACCAGGTCCCTCCCACAACATGTGGGAATTAGGGGAGCTACAATTCAAGATGAGATTTGGGTGGGGACACAGCCAAACCATATCAGGAAGCAACAACACCAATGCCATCATCAAAACACATTGTTTTGGTCCATTTGCATTGTTATAAAGAAATACCTGGCTAGGCGAGGTGGCTCATACCTGTAATCCCAACACTTTGAGAGACTGAGGCAAGTGGATCACCTGAGGTCAGGAGTTCAAGACAAGCCTGGCCGACATGGCGAAACCCTGTGTCTACTAAAAATACAAAAATTAGCTGGGTGTGGTGGCGTGCACCTGTAGTCCCAGCTACTCTGGAAGCTGAGGCAGGAGAATCACTTGAACCTGGGAGGCAGATGCTGCAGTGAGCCAAGATCACAACACTGCACTCCAGCCTGGGCAACAAGAGTGAAACTTCGTCTCAAAAAAAAAAAAAGGAATACCTGAGGCTGAGACCGAATCGTTTATAAAGAAAAGAGGTTCATTTGGCTCACGATTCTGAAGTCTGTACACATAGCATGGTCCTGGCATTTGCTTCTGGTGAGGCCTCGAGAAGCTTACAGTCACATCAGGCAATGGGAGTCAGCATGTCACATGGCAAGAGAGCAAGGTGGGGGGTGTGCCACATTCTTTTAAACAATCTCACTTAAACTCAGAGTGAGAACTCACTCATTACTGTGAGGAGGGCACCAAGACATTCATGAGGGATCCACCCTCATGATCCAAACACCTCCCATGAGGCCCCACCTCTAACATTGGGGATTACATTTCAACATGAAATTTGGAGGGGACACGCATTCAAACCATATCACTCATCTATCAGAAAAGTAAAATAAAATTTACAAAGAAAAGAAAGATCAACCCAGTCTGGGAAAGTCAGGGAAGCCATCATGGAAGTGGATGACCTAAACAAAATCTGGCTGAGTATGAATCCGTTGATGAATGGGATAAGGAGGGAACTGGTTAGGGGAACATTTCACATGAATATTATCACATAAATCAACACTGTTAGCATGGGTGTACTCCTTAGTGTTTCTTGAAGAGAAATGTGGTTGGAGTCCATTTTGCACTATTATAAAAGAATATCTGAGACTGGGTAACTTAGAAAGAAAATAGATTTTTTTGTTTTGTTTGCTTTTGAGATGGAGTCTCATTCCGTCACCTAGTGGCATGCTCTTGGCTCACTGCAACCTCTGCTTCCCGGGTGGTGATTCTCCTGCCTCTGCTTCCCGGGTTCAAGTGATTCTCCTGCCTCAGCCCCCTGAGTATCCAGGATTACAGGTATGCACTACCACGCCTGGCTAATTTTTGTATTTTTAGTAGAGAAGAGGTTTCACCATATTGGCCGCTGGTCTCAAACTCTTGACCTCAGGTGATCCACCTACCTCAGCCTCCCAAAGTGCTGGGATTACAGGCATGACCCACAGCGCCCGGCCTAAACATTAAGGGTTTCAACATATGAATGATTTGATGATGATATTCTAGTTAGACATGGGGCTTTTTTGAAGAGTACTATTTTTACTTCAGTTATCTGTCTAGAGTAGTTTTGTGAGGATTAATAGAGCTGCCAGGGAAGTAAAAACTACATCCACCCCTGCCACACAAGCCATCTCAGGCACCACCACTGCTATAAGTCACCACCCAGTTTTTCAGAGGAATGTTCTGCACCGCTGCCTCTCCTTCTCACATCTCCCCTTCAAATCAGTTTCTACTCCCTCTGCTGAGACCATTTTCTTAAAGCTCACTAATAATCTTAGTGGACAAAGAAAACAGGTTTTTCAGCTTTTGCTCTTTTCATCCTCTCCATAGAATTTACATCTTGACCACTCCCTCCTTCCTAAAACTCCCATACTTCTATAATAATAAATTATATGGTTCTTGTTAAGCCTTCCTTATTCTCCATTCTCTACCCCAAATGCCACACACACATAAGAGTTTTCAAAGTTAAGGCTTGATTTACCTGTGCTTCTTCCAGTCACCTATGCTCAAAGCTTCAACTAACACCTTTGCAGAGGACACTGAAAACTTCCAGCATTTTAAAGACCCCAAGGAGTTTTCCTGTTTGCTGTCATATTGCATTGTCTAGGATTTATAGTCCAATGCTGGTAATAGAGATGATATCAACGTTGTTGCCTATTCCTAACTATAGTGAGATTTCTAATGCTTTCTCACTTAGACTTACTAGTATAGGTCTCTAGCCAATATTCTTTACCAGCTTGAGGAAGTTCTCTCTTATTCCCATTTTACTAAAAATGTAATGTTTGTTTGCTTGTTTTGGGGCCATGTATGTGTGTGATAAAGTATACATAACATAAAAGCTATCACTGGTAACATTTCATATATTTATAATCTTTTACAATCACCACCACTGTCTAGTTCCAGAAAATTTTCATCATGCTAAAAGGAAATCCTGCATCCATGAAGCAGTCCTCCCCATTCCCACCCAATCCCAGGCTCTGGCAACCATTAATCTGCTTTATGTCTATACATTTTATATTCTGAAAACATAATCATACAATACGTGGTTTTGGTGTCTGGCTTCTTTCACGTAGCATAATGTTGTCAAGGTTTGCCCATAGTGTAGAATATATCAGTACTTCACTCCTTTTTATGGCTGAATAATATTCTGTTATCTGGATATACCACATTTTGTTTGTCCATTTGTCTGTTGATGAACATGTAAATTGGGTCCATCCTTTGACTATTGTGAATAGTGCTGCTATAAAGATTTGTGAATAAGTTTTTGTTTGAACATCTGTTTTCGGTTCTTTCAGTAATATACCCAGGAATGGAATGGTTGGGTCGTATGCTAATCCTATGTTTAACTTATGGAAGAAATGTCAAAGTGATTTCCACAGCCTCTGCACCATTTTACATTCTCACTAGCAATGTGAAAGAGGTCCAATTTCTCCACATACTTGCCCATGCTTTCTTTCTTTTTTTCTTTTTTAAATAATTATCCTAGTGGATATAAAGTAATACCTTGTGGTTTTGGCTGGAATTTTCTTAGTGACTACTGATGTTGACGATCATTCCATATACTTGTTAGCCTCTTGTATATCATCTTTGTAGACATGTCTATTCAATTTATTTGCCTATTTTTTGTTTGCCTGTTTTTTGTTCAGTTGCAAGAGTTATTTGTATATTCTAGATACTAGTCCTTTGTCAAATATGTGATTTGCACATATTTTATCCTATTCTGTAGGCATTATTTTCACTTTGTTGATAGTGTTCTTTGAAGAACAAAAGTTTTTAATTTTAATGAAGTCCAATTTATCTATTTTTTTCTGATCTTGCTTGTCCTTTTGGTGTCATAGGTAAGAAACCATTGCCAAATCAAGGTCATAAAGATTTACCCCTACGTTTTTTTGTAAGAGATTTCTGGCTCTCATTCTCATATTTAAGCCTTTTGTCCATTTTAAGTTAACTTTGTATATGGTATGAAATAAGGGTCCAATTTATTTATTTTTTATAGGGTCTCACTGTGTGGTCCAGGCTGATTCTGAACTCCTGGCCTCAAGAAATCCTACTGCCTCAGCTTCCCAAAGTGCTAGGATTACAGGCATGAGCCACTGCACCTGGCCAAACTTTATTCTTTTGCATGTGGACATCCAGTTGTCTCAGCACTATTTGTCAAAGAGTAGTCTCTTTCCCATTGGATGGTCTTGATATCTTTTTAATAATAAATTGACCATAGATGTTAGGTTTATTTCTGGACTTTTGTTATTAACTGAATGTTTATATAACCCCAAAATTCCTATGTGGAAGCCCTAACCCCCAAAGCCCCACCTTTAGGAGGTGTCTTAGTCCATATTGTGCTACCATAATGGAATACTTGAGACTAGGTAATTTATAATAAACAGAAATTTATTAGCTCATGGTTCTGGAGGCTGGAAAGTCCAAGATCAGGGAGCCAACATCTTGTGAGGGCCTTCTTGCTGTATCATCCCACGGCAGAAGGCAATGAACAAGAGACAGCAAGATTTCAAACTTGCAGCTTCAAGTCCTTTTCTAATATGCATTACTCCATCATGAAAGTGGAGTCCGCATAACCTGAATACCTCCCATTTAGGCCCCACCTCCCAACACTGTTGCACTAGGGGTTAAGTTTTCAATACACGGTTTTTGGAAGACACATTCAAACCATAGTAGGAGGTAACTAGGTTTAGATTAAGTCAAAACCACAAAGGCCTCCATGATGAGATTAGTAGACTTATCAGAATGAAGAGAGTTCTCTCAGCCCTCCTCTCCAAGGGGTCAAGAAAAGGCCATGGGAAGATGCAGCAAAAAGCCATCTGCAAGCTAAGAAGAGAGTCTTAACCAGGAACTGAATCAGCCAACACCTTTATCCTAGGCTTCAAGCCTCCAAAACTATGAGAAATAAATTTTTGCTGTTCAAACCACCTAGTCTGTGGTATTGTATTATGACAACCCCACCTGACTAAAACAACTCTCAATTCTATTCCACTGATCTGTATTGCTATCCTATGCCAGGACCACACTGTTTTGATTACTCTAACTTTATAGTAAGTTTTGAAATTGCAAAGTGTGAGCCCTCCAACTTGGTTCATCTTTTTCAAAATTATTTTGACTATTTGGAGTCCTTTACAATTTCTCGTGAATTTTAGGACTGGTTTTCCCATTTCTGCAAAAAAAGGACATTGGTATTTTGATTACGATTGCATCGAATCTGTAGATCTCTTTGGGTGGTATTGCCATTTCAATCATATCAAGCCTTCTAATCCATGAACACAGGATGTCTTTTCAATTATTTAGGTCTTTCTAATTTCTTTTGGTAATGTTTTATAGCTTACAGTATATAATTATTGTACCTTTTTGGCTAAATTTATTACTAGATATTTTATTTTTATTTGTTTCTAACTGTAGGGAAAAAGTTGTTAATTTTATTAAATACTTTTTCTCAGTCTACGATCCTGTGATTACTTTCCTTTAACTTGTTAACATAGTGAATTACATTGAGAAATTTCCTAAACTGAACCATCCTTGAAACCCTGGTATAAATCTTAGTTGATCACAATATATTATGCTTTTTATATATTGTTGAACAGAGGACGGAAAGGATAGAAAAGGCCAAACTTAAAATAAAAAAACCTCAAACTTTACTTCTCAGCTCGCCTTGCAGCTAAGGGTGAGTAGCCATTTGACACAGTTCTGGCCAAGAAGACGAAAGCAACAGTTACTTTGTGAAGCTTCCAGGAAAAACTCTTTCAAAAGGAACTGATGTGGAGGGTCTAAGCCCCTCTCCCAGAAAAGCACAACTGGTTTGCCTGCTGACTCACTTTGGGGTGATGAAGGCTGCCGTGCTGGCCAACACATCTAAAAGGGATTTTGGAGAAAGAGTTCATTTTTTAACTTAATTCTTGGGTAAGGAATCTAATAAATGAGGTGACCGAACACCATTGGAATTTAAAGCTCTGGAAAAACACTCTCATCTGCCAGACGTATTCATCCCTATTCAATACCCTCAACTCTGAATAGGAGACCCCTTCTGTCATTGTGAGGTGGAAGGTAATATAGAGTGATAAGGCAGAGGGTAGGTTTTATGGACTCAGCAGACCTGGGTTCAAGTCTTAGCTCTGCAAGCTCTGACTTGACCTCTCTGAGCCTCATTTCCCATCAAGTAAATGGTGATAATAAGAGCTCCAACCTTGTAGGACTATTTGTGGGTGAAGAATGAAACAAAAAACATTGCATATAAAGTACATGGCACAGTACTCAAATATGAGCTGTTGTCATGTTTATTATCATTAGTATAACTTATGTATCAGTTTAAGTAGAAGAAAATAGTGATTACATTTTTAAAACAATGATGTCTTTTTGGAAAGTCCTCCATTTGAGTTACTTGAGGAGGTGTGTCATGTGTTAACATGCAAGGAAGTAATTGTAGCACCTGATGACTGTCAGAGCCTCGGGAAAAGGGAGCTAGAAGCTCTGGGCGAAACTGTCTGCCTCAAATGCAGAACCGGCTTCTGCTAAATGGTAGGGAAGTATAGACCAAGTGAGCAGAATCAAGAGTGGGGTCAAGCTGCAAGGAGCAGGGAGAGAGAGATGAGCCTCCAGGGAGACAAGATGACCAGCAGGGACAAAATGGCCTCCTCCCTGTCTAGGTGCTCAGGAGGGTGGCCCAACAGCTGGCTCACAGCAATAGACAGAGGGCAGGAGCCCTGGTCTGCCTCGGAGACAGATGCATCCATCATCCTCAGGCAATCAAGCAGTTTTAAGTGGACGGAGGTGACTAGAAGTCAGCAAGCAATTTTCAG